GCCACGTTGTTTTTAGTTTTTACATTTTTGTGTAAATTTATACTCAAAAAGTTTACCACTCTTTCACCACCAAAATGAGTGGAGGATACCACCTTCATTGAGAATAACTTGGTTAATCTATAAGATTGTTTGCCTTGAAGATTCGTTCAGTGCAGTCGGCTTAGCATGCAAAAAACCTAGGCCGCAATTTTTCACTAGGGTTAGTCCAGTTCCTACGGCTTCTATTTTTTCTCTATAAACCTTTCCTAGGTTGGTGAGTTAATGTATATCCCCTCCCATCGACAACCATTTGAAATGTTAGCGAGTTATATTTTAAAGTCAGCTAATTATATATGTAAGAATTGGAAATTTAACAAATGCGTTTGTAATAAATAAAAACTAAAATACAATTGAAATAAGAATTTTGTGAACGTATTTGTGAGGTATTTTTTTAGCTCCTTCGTTGGGGTCCTGCGTATAAACTAACAAAATAAAAAGCGAGTAAGTGGATATCGCTCTGCTATCCAGTTGGTCACAAGTAGGTTACTGTAATGTAATAATTCAAACGTTCTTAAAAATATAATAATACTTTCCGGTATACATTTTTTATTTGACAAAAGTATATAAACTTATGACGAATCTTGTACTCAATTTGAAAACCATAGATTTAAAATGACACATTTTTATGAATTTCTAACTCAAAATAATTTRAAATGCCAACATAAACATTTAATGAAAATTTTACGGTTCTACGGTAATTTGTTTTAGAGTTACGCCAATATTATCTGAAATCAGTTTTTGCAAGAAAATCCTGTTTTAAAAAAAAATTTTTTTGCTTATCCCGGTGTTTTTGAAAACTACTGTGAATTTATATTTTGACTAAGCATTATTTCGACTACTTATCGTGTACACAGAAAAAAAAAGAAAAACACATCATTGTAAAATCTATATATTCATTGTTTCGCTCAGAATATAAAATACTAAGAGCATCGGTCTCATGGCCCTAACCAGTCTGACACTATTYGTATTGTTTTATAGTCGAACTAATCTCAAACAAATGACAATTTCATCTCTGTGATTCATTAAAAAWACATTGAAACTCATGGTTATGCATGATTTTGCACTGTCATATAATATATGTTTTTACTATCAAAGAAGATTCARTTTTTTCACATTGTTCATATAATATATTTTTATATTAAGTTGTATGAGATTCTAGAATCTCATCTTATTGGTGGTATTCGATTTTAGAACAATATGAAGTTTTCTAATTGGACTTTGAATGGTTGTAGAAGGCTGTAGAATAACTAAATAAAATCTATTATATAAATTAATATTTTTTCATTATCGTTAGTCATGTACAGATCTGTATACCGTATATAATATTATATAGTGACTTTAATTGGTGACGTAAATTTGTCCCACAGACTTCATTTCAGAATTGTGTATTGAATGTGAAAACATTTTTTATTCAGCGTTAAGGTATTTTAATAACTATTGATTATATTTYCTTTAATACGCTACTGCCTACTATGCATGAAATCAAGTAGTATCTACCTATTATTTTAGATTGTGGGTGATTTTTWAAAAAAAAATTTAAAAACATGGATTGTTTCGAAAACATTAACCGTATATTATACGGCATTTTTATCGAGTGTTTAAAAATTATTGTAATGACACACAG